AGCACGACGTCGGGCGAGCCGCCGCCGCAAGCCCAACCGCTCCCGCACGACCCTGCTTCATTCCACCTCTGGCATCCACTATTTGGCAAGTAAGTGTTTTTATATTTAAAATCTAGTTAGATTCAAGAGTCAACAGTAGTTATAAAAATCTGTTTTTGTTACGGTTGACGTGTATTCTAAAATGTTTAATAAAATTTTCTACAAACTTTGGAATTCAAGTTTTAATACATGAAATAGAATTAACGTTTTTTTACGAAATCATTTAATACATATACAAAAGCAGTGTTTTAAGCCGTATAAATCGTTGATGTGAGACCAAACTTTAAATTATAATTTATTTTAAAATGATAGTTACTCTCATGTGCCAGTTGCTAAACTTTTCTTATCTGTGGTACGATTAATGCAAAATTTTTAATTGCGTCGTCGTTGCACTGTGCTGTGTACTTGCTAACTACACGTAATGGAAAAAAACTTACTGATTTATAGAAAAAAATGCGTTATATGTTATCTGTAAAACATATTTGACGTGCGTTTGGCGGGAAATTGTTCTCCGATCGACGATTTTGATATTATAAAATTTTATAGGTTATTTTCAAACTTCATATACTTGTTTTTAATATTATTAATTACAAGTTATTAAATTAAGTAACGTTAATATTTACAAAAATTACGTTAATGATGAGTGTTAGTGGTTTTATTAACGTTTCACAATACATAAGTACCGTAATTTACGATGAAATTAATAGTTTATGAAGAGTATGATTTTTTGTTAATCTGTACCGAAATTTGTATCTTTATTCAATTTCTAGAGAATAAACATTTGTACTTTTCCATCTGTAACTAATTATTTTAGTTTTTGTGGCTTTATTGTTAATGATACTTGTCATACTTCATACTAATATTATAAATGCGAAAGTTTAGATGGATGAATGTTTATTAGTTTGTAGCATAAACGGCTGGACGGATTTCGATGAAATTTGGTACAGATGTAGACGATAGTCTGGAAGAACACATAGACTACTCACTTTTGTATTTTCTAATTCCATGCGGACAGAATCGCGAGCGAAAGCTAGTCAATTAATAAATTCTTGCTCGTTTGTCTTCACATGTTAAAAGGTAGAGTTAACAATGTTAAATGAATAGAGTTTTATTCATTCAGAGATCCGATAAAAAGTTCGCTGCACAACTTCGTTAGCACATTTATAACGGAAAGAAAATGCTGTTAGAATTAATGTATGAAATCAATAAAAAATTGTCGTCAATGGAATTATTAAACATTTTATACGAAGATGTTTTTATATATTAATGGATTATTATTTTAATGTATAAAGTTTCTTTTCGATTTTTCTTAAGGCTCAGTACTGAAACGACATTTAAATATGAACTCAAAGATTAAGATGTTTACGTCTGTCAGATTGATTTACGAAGCGAAGAATTCGAGATTCGTTTCAGAAATGTTCTAAATTCTAAATAGAATTTTAATTAGACATTTGATACTTTAGTTAAATTGATATTTTTATTAGAATAGAGTTAGGGATATAAATGGAATAAATTAAATCAAAGTTTTTTTATGAAAATATTTTTCTCTTTATAAGTCGGTGAGTTTTGCATTTTCATTGACTTTCAATGAATATTAATGTAAAACGCCCGTCGCTGCGTCAGTCTGTCAGTTTCGTATCAAATACAGTAAAACGATATTCTTTCATAAACTACCAATATCAATCCAATAAGTTGTAGTACAAAAATCAAACAAAAAAATGGGACCCACCTGCAAGCATTACCTTTCGGATAAAAAAAGAATTATCAAAATCGGTCCACTAGCGGCGGAGTTATGCCGTAACACACATAAAAAAAAAACATATCGACGAATTGAGCACCTCCTTCTTTTGGGAAGTCGGTCAAAAAGGCACTAAAATCCCCAGATAACGGAGACACTATATTCTTTACGTTGTTTAATCTTTGACACTTAAAAATGGAAGCCTTTCCCGTTGAGCGATCGGCCCAATATCCGGATTTTTTCCCATTGGGATTGATTATATAGATTCGATCTACAAGATACAGCCGCGTACGGCAGTGAGCGTGACGTCACAAATATACCTAATTAGGGGTACTTAGCGTTGCTATGAGTCAAGACAGGGGCCGCAGGGGACAATGGTAAGCATTCACTGCCTTTTGGAAAATAATTCGTGTTTCCATAAACAAAAGCCGAACGATAATTAAAAATAAATAATGGGTACTCATAATAATTGGCTTTCGACTTTCGGCGGGTACAGTCAAGGACTTTTTTTCCTAGTAATTTGTCAGATATTGATGTTCTCAATTAGGTCAAAAATTACCATTATAGCTTTTTTTTTAATAGGTGGCAAACGAGCAAGCGGCCCTCTGAAATCGCCAAAATGGCGAAGTGACCGCTGTCCATAGACATCAGCAATTGCAGATGCGTTGCCTACCCTTATACGACGGAGGAGGAGACGCACATAAAGAGGATATTTCCCCTTCCTATGCATCTCCTCCACCGTCAAATCCACTTCCTCTTCCCAACCTCTCCTTATAAGAAAAGGGTGGTAAAGCGAAATGGACTTAAATTAGGCCTCCGGCGCCACACTCATGAGACGAAACACGGAATTGCTTCCATTTCACGCCTGTCTTCTGTGTGGTCGTGGTATTACACCGGGCGTGCCGGCCCTGCAGTACTAAGATGTTAAAGCGGGCACTACCACTGTGATCATATAAACGTACGATTCTCGATCCGAAGTAATGTAATAAGATGATTAAAGTATAAATTAATGATACTAACTCTAAGTTTCCAATGCTGGAAACGTGTAAAAATTTGGAATCTCTCTTTCATCTCGCTCGATTTCTATGAAAAAGGCAGAGCTAGCGATATCTCGAAGTTCCACATTGACTATCGTAAGCCGAAATTTTGCGATTTTCATTTTTTTTAATTAACTTGATAAATACTTATTTCTCTTTAAATAAGATAATGTCAGAAAGAAGTGTAGATTTTCCTAACGTATATTAATCTTAGGACACAAACAAGGAAGTATTAAGTATGAATGTGGTGTCTACAAAGGAAGAAGACCGAAGGAAGTATGGTTGGATTGTGTGAAAGAGGATATGCTTAAGGTAGTGGATTCAGATGGAAACAGAGACACAGCGATCGTAGAAGGTCTGAAAGGCTCTGTACAAGGATACATCCATCGTCACCGACAACTATTGTGTTAGTATAAGTAAAAATTAAAAAAATGTGCATTAAAAAAAACGAACTCACTAGTGTTATAAGGACTACGCAATAAAAAAAAAGAAAAACAAACTGTGCAAAAAAGAGTACGGACCAAGAGTCTGTAGAAGTTGATAAAAAAGGGAGTGGATTCAGATATAATGACTGATAGATATGGAAGAACAGCATATACTGTGCCGACCCTCCGTAGGGAGAAGGATATATTGATGTTTGATGTTTCGTAATTAATTTTTAAGATGTGAAATTTGCGTAGGATCCATCGATTTTTCTGTACTTTGAGCTATAGAACCACTAAATTAGAACGATATTGGGTCATGTAAAAGTGAAATAGAAACAACACAGACGGACGGTATTCTAATTGATTACGGATATTCTGAGCTGAAGCAAAGGTTGACTTAATTTCAATCTATTTGTGTTTATGCCTTGGTCTTATTAGGTCAGGCTTTGGGTTTAGGACAGACCGATGTGACTGAAATAGCGAGAAGCCGAACGCTTTCTAATGCCTTGACAGGTCAGTTTCGTATTTATATTAACTTACTAGATATCGCCAACGACTCCGTCCGCGTGGGATAAAAAAAAAAAAACAAAATTGAGTATCCTATATGTTCTTCCAGACTATCCTCTACATCGATACCAAATTTCATCAAAATTCATTTAGCCGCTTTGGCTACAAACTCTAACAAACATCCATCCATCTAAACTTGTTTTGTTTTATAAAGTTTTGTTATAAATGATTTCGTTTAATAGAAAGTTACCTATATTTTAATTATCATCATTAAATTGCTTTCTATGAAAGAATATAGAAATTTAATCAGAGTGAACGTTATAATTTTTGGAATCGATTTTACAAAGGCATTTTCTTTTTTCAATCGATATCTAAGCAAGTTTAAGATAGCATCATATTCACATATTCTGTACTTATACAAGCTCAGGGCAACAAACGCATTAACTTCCCTTATCTTTTTGCAAGTTATTGGAGCGCAAAATCTATTGATTTCATTATCCAGCGCTGTTCAAACGGAGGCAGGAGGAAACCGCTTTGTTGTACCTTCACATGTTACAACTTAGTACGGATGATAGTTTGAGTTGGCACGTCGGGGAGAATATTACTCTTGTTCCAGACGTGCCAAGTCAAAAATCAATAAACTTACTCTATTACAAATTCTACGTTTACATAAAATTAAGTTCTGTCTTTGACAATACTCTCAAAATCTCCATAAATCATTTACAATATCTATATCAATTTCAAAAGCTTAACCTTGCATGCAGCAAGGTAAAAGCAAATTACAATGCCCAAAGCTCTTCAAGTATAGTAAGACGCTCTCCTCGACCGAGGCGCACCCACCGTGGCACTGGAGCGTCAGATAATGATCCCACACCAAATACACTTTTGCTATTTACTGAAGTAACTACTTAGAATTGATGTTTCATTACGGGTTTAAGAAGTACTTTATTTTATTCGAGTAATTCTAACAGTGAATTTAAGTCTGATTCGTTTTCAAATGTTGCTTGCATACTCAAAATTAGAAAGTACATCGTCTGTTTTAGGTATCAGGTAAACATAATTTGTCTTGTTTGATGGAATCCAATAATACATGTCAAATGTTATAAGCGACTAGCTGTTCCCGTGTGACTTCATCCGCATAAAATTATGATTTTTTTTATTGTTTACATTTGTCAAATTATCAATAGCAAATGTCAAAATGACAAATCTTGGCAATCTCACGTTCTATGGTCTCTTTCCCACATTAGGGTTTTTATCCAAAATATTTACCCCCTAAGTTTAATGGCCTGAAAATATATAGCCTAAAGCGTGACGTAAGTGTAATGCTTTTTATTAAAGAAAGA